TTTGGTAAGTTTTCGTTGGTAGATATGAGATTGAAATGTCTGGATTGAGAAAACTCGGTCTTTTTCCTTTTGCGGAGTTGAAAAATACGTGGTTTTAAAACTGGCGAACTCCCCTGCAAATATCTGAGAGATTTTGGTAAACCTAGCCTTACTCTGCATTTCTGCAGTGTTACATTTTGCTACTGTAGATAATAAGTCAGTTTTTCCTAGTTATTCATCCTTCTGTTTCAATCACCTGTAAAAATGTTTTTATGATTTCTACAGGTTGAAGGGTCATTTGCATGATCCTTTTCATGGCTCCCGGAGTCCTGCTCGGACAAAGCGGTCCAGTCACCCCAATGTAAGCTTTTATGGCCTGAAAGAAATGTACATTTTGCCTTGTTTCTGGTTCTGTTGTATTTTGAATTTTTGATGCAGTAGTATTTAAATGGTTATTAGTTTTCACGCTTTGTCCAGGGAGAAGACCAAGTGACCACATCAGTGAGCGGCCGAGCTGACGACCTTGCTTGGCGCTGCTCATCTGATACTTTTGATCTCAATGGCCGCGCATTTGAGAACTCCGAGAATTGGGCAGTGTTGTCAACAGAAGGGGACAAGCCGATTCCTCGTTTTGATGTAAACAACTTTCTTAAAACTCTGATTTGTGCATCAGGAGAAAAACAAATACAGTGATGTTCTTATCAATAATCAGTTTCTATTCTGAATCCTTTGTATCGCTTTCGTCTGATTTTCGTTTAAACAGCATGCAGCAGCCATGGTAGGAAGCAAAATGGTGGTCTTTGGTGGAGATTCTGGCCATCATTTGCTGGATGATACAAAGGTAATCAGTTTTATGTTTCTTAAGGTTCTCATCTGTTAATGTTGCATGGCAATTTTGGGAGAAGTTCATGATCTGGTATTTTATATATCCTTCAGATATTGAGCTTAGACAAGCTTACATGGGATTCGGTGGCTCCCAAAATCCGTGTATCACAAGGTGGACATGCTCCAAAGTTTCGACCATGCAAAGGCCATAGCCTGGTATAATTCTTGAAGCTCATTGTTCTCTCACTAGTCACTACTCATGTCCTTGCATTTATTTATAATCAGGATTATCAGTTGATGTATGACCTATTGTTCTGATTTTACTGGAATTGAATTCTCATAGCCTCCTTGTCAAAGTAGTAGATGTAACTACGACACAAAGTACTTGCTTTTTGAAATTTTAGGTTCCATGGGGGAAGAATGTCATTCTTGTTGGAGGGAAAACTGATCCACCTTCTGACCGGATATCAGGTTAGACAGCACTGTTAGATTCTCAAAAGAATGTGAATTTTCTTTTGGTCAGATGCTTTACTTTCCAATTTGCAGTAGAAATATTCGTAACTTCATTTCTTTTATTGCAGTCTGGTCCTTCAATACTGAAACTGATCTCTGGTCGTATATAGAAGTCAAGGGTGATATCCCGGTAAGGTGGTGCTTATTTCAGGATTGATATATACACTGCCTAATTTTCATGCAAAATGATAAGAAATTGTCCCCTGATTACTTATGTCAGGTGGCTCGAAGTGGCCATACAGTGATTAGAGCAGGTCCTGTTTTAATTCTCTTTGGAGGTGAGGATGGAAAAGGGAAGAAACTACATGACCTTCATATGTTTGACCTGAAATCTTCAACATGGCTTCCTTTGAATTATAAGTGAGTCATCCTTGTCTAGAAGTAGAACTCAGAAATATGCATATCAATAGAGACTAAAGAAAGTTTTTTCAGTTGATCATTAGGCTTATTATCTGAAAATCAACTCAATGCAGCAGTTCCTGCACTGTGGCACTGAATTTCCTCAATGTTCGAATTATTCTTGTGCTTATCATTTTCTCTTATTGATTATAAGTCCACTGTTCTAGAGGTGCTGGACCTTCTCCAAGATCCAATCATGTGGCTGCTCTGTATGATGATAGAATTCTATTGATCTTTGGAGGCCAATCAAAATCCAAAACACTCAATGATGTTCATGCTCTAGACTTCGAAACGGTAATTTCTATCGGGTTTCCTTGTAGGTTTTTCTTGTTGATGCGCTTACTGAAAAAACCATTCTTCTTGTTAGATGGTATGGTCGAGAGTGAAAACCCATGGCCATCATCCATCACCTCGAGCTGGTTGCTGCGGAGCTCTCTGTGGCACTAAATGGTATATCGCAGGGGGTGGAAGCAAGAAAAAGCGTAAGTTTAAACATTATGTACTAATTCATGTACTAGTCTATAATATGACAGATAAATGGTTCAGTCAGTCCTAAAAAAAAGATGGCTCAGTTCTGTTTCTGACCCAGAAGTATGCATTTGCTGAAAGATCGCATCTTTTGCGACTGTGGCCCATGGGTCATTTTAATGAGAAGTTTTCTTTCTCTCAGGTCATCCGGAAACTTGGGTTTTTGACATTCTGGAATCCAAGTGGTCTGTTTGTGTAGTACCTCCTAGTTCCTCAATTACCACAAAGAAAGTAAGTTAAAAATTCATTCATGACTTAGTTCCATGTAAGTGATCCGTGACTCCACGAGTAGTACCAATCTTACAGTAAGACTGCAAGGTGGATATTGTGTACTTAAGGAACAGCTGTCCTGAGAATTTAGATAAATGAATACTAGGTTCCTTGAAATTTATGATGGCTATTGTCTAGAGTTGAAGGCAGAAGTCACTAGGTAAACAAAGATAACGTAGTTCTTTCCCATTTAATTTATACTGAAAATAATGAAAAAGAAGACTGTCTTTAGCTTCTCTGGTGATTATGGAGCAGAAATAAGAGAAATCAAGTCATATTCAACTTCATGTTTATTTCTGTGTTATCATTTTTGCTCTGTTGCTGAATGATTGATGATGCAACTCATGGCAGGGATTCAGCATGGTTCCGTTGTACTACAGGGACAAGATTGTTCTTGTTGCTTTCGGAGGAAACAAAAAGGAACCATCTGATAAGGTGAAAGAGCTGAACTTCCCAACCAATATAACAACAATTCTTGGTGTCTGGACTTCATTTTCTGATATTTTCTGAAACGATAATTCTCTTCTTATTCATATTTTGCGGAGGTGCATTTGAAACATTAATATAACCAGGTTCACCAGTCCTTAACCAAATTTGTTTTGCACTTTTGAAGGTCGAAGTACTAGTGGTACTGCAAAACGAGCACTGCTTCAGCTGGCGGTCTGCCCCTGATGTAGAACCTTTACTGTATGAGGACTCACCTCCAAGCTCAAAGGAACTTTCTGATCACCTGAACAACAATTGTGCTCCTCTGTACTCTACTGGATCTGTAGCAAGGCATAGCCTTGCCACCACTGTGGAGAGCTCGTCTGGGCGGAAATCGCTCCCTGATTCGCTGCTACAGCAACCTAATCTTGGCAGTTCATCACTCCGCAGACAGTTCCGTCAGGAGGAGGAATGCAGCCTAGCCCACAAACTGCAGAAACCAATTGATGATGACAGATACAAGGATGTTGATGACTGTTCCGAGCTACCCTCGGTCACAAATCAAAAGCAGCGCAATGATATATATCAGTCTCCAGATGCTGATGCTAAAGCGAAGAGGGTGGGCAGAAGTTCATCGGACATTAACCATCAGTATGACACCAAAATAGCAAACCTGATCAGGAGGAACATGGCATTGGAAGAGCAACTTTCAGCGGCAATGGCAAGCAAAGATGAAGCGGAGAAGAACCTCTCTTTGGTCATCGACAGCAAGGAGGAGCTAGAGAAGAGGTTGTCTGAGAAGGACAGGGAGGTCGAGACGCTGAAGGAGAAGGTGACAGGATTAGAGCTGGCGCAAGAAGAATCAAACAGCCTCTCAAACACCGTCCATGCTGACAATGTGCGCCTCGAACGCGAGGTGGCGTTCTTGAAGGCTGTCATGGATGAAACCCAGAAGGCAAGATAGATAACCTTCCTATCATCTCTTCATCAGCCACTTTTGGCACTGACTGAGTTCTGTTCATTCACAGGAGCTTCACTCTACTCGCGGAGTTTTAGCAGGAGAACGCTCGAGGGCCTTCCAGCTCCAGGTAAATGGTGAAAGTGTTCAATCTTTCAGGTTCTTTTTTTTTTTCTGGTTAATACAAGATTGACAGCATGAGTTACCCCATCTCTCATGGCCTGTCAATAACTCAATATATGTGCCCTGTTGCCCTGTTTGATTTAGATTATTGAACAGATTATTGCCATGAATTATTGATTTGATTATAGAGATAAATTAAATAAATAGCATAAAATATGCAGTAGAAGAAAGTTTTTTGAGAAAACATATTTTCTGAAGCTGGAGCAAATAATCAATTTCAATAATTTGTGTTGCATCTGTGACTGTCCATGTAACTGACTTTGTTGATATTGCTTTGCCAGGTTGAAGTGTTCCATCTGAAGCAAAGGCTGCAAACAATGGAAGGAAGATCCCCAACACCAAGGAAACCTCAGAATCTGTAGGGGTGCAGACTGCACAAGCCAAGTGTACAGTTGCCATGAGTTTGTTGTATCCTCTGTTGTAAATTAATTCCTGAGCCTATTTTTCCATGGAGACATGTTATGTAACCATAAGTTTTGGTCCATCCATGAAGAATGTTTATGTGACAATACCTGAGCTCTGAGTTTGTAACTCAGCAGAAGATGTTAATTATTAAAGACCCAAATTGATACTCTCCATCTATGTTCATCTACCAGTCTTGGAAGGAAATTAAATTCATTTTCGCAGGGTACAGTTTTTGTGGAATGTGATTTTAGTTAGTAGATGAGGTGCTAGTAACACAAAACCAAGCTGCTTCAATTTTTTTTATGAAAAATAATACATGAAATAAATATTGTGTTGCATGACCAAATTTTCTTCCTACAAAGGTGTAAACAAAAGTCAGAGATTTGTATTGACATATCTGGTCCCTGTACAGACACTTAGCAAGTCTGACATGTGGGGCCCACCATAATGGACGGTGCCTACGGCGGTGCACGAATCTCAAAGCAGAGAGCCAACCAGCTAACATGATGCTTGTGTGCTCAATCAATTCTATCCCCAGCTGCTACTGCTCCTCTTCTCATCGCCACGCTACCTCTCAATGGAGGCCTTCCTCGCCGGCTTCCGGGCGCCGCGGCCGCGGGTCCCGGCCGTCTCCGCCGCCGCCCGGAGCCTCCCTCCCAACACCTCCTTCTTCTCCGGCGGAAGGCGGCGCAGGAGGCTTCTTTCCTCATCGGTGGTCTGCATGGCGGTAAGCACAGCCAATCTTGTTGGTTTTACCCGTTAAAAATTTGCACCGTTCTTACCTGAAATGGAGGATTGATTGTGTGATGGAAGAGAACTTATGAGTGTTCTTCTAATCTTTTTTGCTTTGTCACTGGTAGGAGCCCTATCTCATAGCAAAGTTGGATTCTGCAGAGAAGGCTTGGAAGGAAATGTCGGTATGGCTTTCTGTTCAATTCCCAGCTTTCTTTCTTTTTTTTTTTGAATAATAATAATTTTTTTGGATAAGATCATAAGAAATGACCCAATGTATTTGTCTGCTCCTTTTTTTGAAGTTATTAAATGGTGGAGAATTACTTTTAGAATTAAGTTCGGTCCCCCCTTGAAACTACTATACTGATGATGTCATGCTTGCATAGTGATATGGAAATTTTTCCATTTTTATTCACTTTCTTTATTGATTTACTGAACATGTTCATTTGATAAGTGATTATCCACTTCAGGTTAGATTGGCTGATCCTGATATAGTTTCGGATCCCAGCGAGTACCAAAAACTTGCACAATCAGTTGCTGAACTAGATCAGGTATCTGACATAATTCCAGCAGCATTTGCTCTTGGTTACTTGTAGTAACTTGTAGGATGCCTCATGCCTGCTTCTTTTTCCCCATTTGTTTCATCACTTTTTTGTGAAATTATTCAGGTTGTGAGTACGTACAGGCAGTTTAAGGACTGTGAGAAGCAAATTGAAGAAACAAAAGGTTAGCATGCTATAGTGCTTCTTCTTTTTAGAACTATGCATAGTGTTTCTTATGCCACCCTGGGATTAAGTGCTAGATTCTCACAAACTGTGTATGTGCTGATATGATAGTTTTGCAAAAAGAGAATGAAGATGACCCAGATATGGCAGAGATGATTGATTCAGAGATGGAGTCTCTATCTAACCAGCTTGAAGAGCTTGAGGAAAAACTGAAGGTGTGTGTGAAATAGATATTGCGTGTTAGACATGTTGAGATGATTCTCATTGCTCTTGTTGTTTCATGTTAGTTACTACTGCTTCCCAATGATCCTCTTGATGCACGCAACATCTTACTTGAAGGTACATCTCAATTTTGCCCTGTCTTTTGGCCATATTTATTTGAGAAATAACAGTGGTGTTTCTTTACAATTTCAAACCCGTGTTTTGGAACTGAGACTATGTTTTTGCCATTTCAGTAAGAGCAGGTGCTGGTGGTGATGAAGCTGGAATTTGGGCTGGTGACCTTGTAGGTAGATAAGACTGTACAAATTGAGTATGATTTAGCAACTGAGAAAGGATAGCTGTTTTGGTTTAGTCTAAGCAATAGAATATTAAGTCTTGCTGAAAAGAATTTGATTTATGGGATTTGTGTTAAATAGCCTAGCAGTTAATATGTCAACTAATGAGCAAGATAAGGTTTTCTTTTCGCAATATAATCATGAGAAAATTCCCTATCTAGCATAAAAAAAAGTTGCTCTTCCCTCTATAGCACCCAAACTTCAAAAGTTCCCTATCTAGTCACTTCTAAAATTTTCCTTCCCTATGTAGCACTTCCGTTAGTTTTTACACTTGACGGTGTTAACCAGCGGGAGAAAAGACGGTTTTGCCCTTCTTTAGTTTTCAGACTTGCCCGTACATGATCGTTGGTATTTTAGACGTGCTTTCTCTTGATTTAACGTAGCACTGCAAATATAACATGTCAATCCACTCTTTTGAAAAATAATAATAATTATCCTCCTGTGGTTTCACTTGCCATTAATTAACTTAAGTAATTAATAACGAACATCATGTACAGGCAAGTCTGAAAACTAAAGAAGGGCAAAACCGTCTTTTCTCCCGCTAGTTAACATCGTCAAGTGTAAAAACTAACATAAGTGCTACATAGGGAAGGGAAATTTTAGAAGTGCCTGGATAGGGAACTTTTTAAGTTTAGGTGCTATAGAGGGAAGAGCAACTTTTTTTGATGCTAGATAGGGAATTTTCTCATCATTTGTGTTCATTATACTTTAGAAGCTATATTTTCGATACCTGCATGCATCATGTGTACAGTTTTATTCACATAATTTGGCAGCTAAGCATGTCAATGACTATTTTATAGGTGCGTATGTATCAAAAATACTGTGAGCGCAACTCCTGGAAGTTCAAACCAGTTTCCAGCTCAGAAGTATGCTTTTGCATCCTGGACCTTAACCTTAACCTGAGGCTTAAATAACAACATGCTGCTCACTAGTCGAATCTTTTAGGCAGAAAAGGGTGGGTTCAAGACATATGTGATGGAGGTGAAGGGCAAACAAGTCTACAGTAAACTGAAGTTTGAGTCAGGTGTACACCGTGTTCAGCGCGTTCCTCAGACAGAGACTATGGGCCGTGTTCACACATCAACAGCAACTGTAGCTATTATGCCAGAGGTGAGCTATTAGATGTCAGTTTTTTTTTTTTGTCAATATCTTTTCTTTCTTTGGAAGCTTTTTGATATTGTTTTGATGGCATCACAGGCTGATGAAGTTGATGTGGTTATCGATCCGAAAGATATTGAACTCAAAACTGCAAGATCTGGTGGAGCTGGAGGTAATATCACTTACTATTGTTCTAACAAGAGTACTGTATTCTTTTTCTCTGAATGTCTTGTAACAGCCGAGTCTAACCTCAAATGTCCTCCAAAATATCACTTGTTGCAGGGCAGAATGTTAACAAGGTGGAAACTGCTGTTGATCTTATTCACAAACCTACGGGAATTCGGATATTCTGTACAGAAGAAAGGTCACAACTCCAAAATAGAGAACGCGCATTCCAATTGTTGAGAGCAAAGCTGTAAGTTTCTATTTTTTAGTTTCTATTGTTATTTTGTAGCCTTCAAAACTTTGTTTTTCTATTTTCCATAATCTATATGCAGCCTGTCATTTCAGTATTCTGCCCATAAACATGTTCTTTATAAGCCCATCGTTGCGTTGTTGGTTCTAGCTATCTGGAAAGAAATGCTAAATACAGTAAACTTATATTTGGTCTCCAGGCTTGTTGGTATTTAGATGATAGATTGTAGTTTAATAGCAGCAGGTATCCTTGTGAACCCTTATTTTATGTCTGATATATCTCTCGCATAAACATTACAGTTACGAGATAAAATTACGGGAGCAGCAGGAATCTATAAGAAACCAGAGGAAACTGCAGGTAAATTATCAGTTTTACCTAGGATCAGCGTACAAAGGTTTAAACTGTTACATTCGATTGAAAGTACACCAAAAATATGTATTTAGTTGTAGATGATAAACCTTTTAGATTCAATGTAAATGGCATTTCTCCTTTACATGGCAATGAAGCATATACTATACTATTTTTCCTCTGTTGGTTTTTACTAATATTTGGTGGCTATTGAAGGTTGGAACTGGTGCTCGTTCTGAGAAGATAAGGACGTACAATTATAAGGTACCAGCAGAGCTTTTCATCTGATGGTCTGCTGTCATAAGAATTCATGGCATTGGCATTGGCATTTGTGTAGTCAGTGTTTTGGCATATTTTTGGCTAATCTGGAGTATGAAATATTTCACATTTTCCTACAGGACAACAGAGTGACAGATCACCGGTTGAAGATGAACTTTGAACTCACTGGTTTCCTCATGGGAGATATCGAGTCGGCTGTGCAGGTAAACTACATATACAAAGATGCAAATCGTGCAACATGTAACTACTATAATAAAAGAAAAGATGAAGTTCATGGCACAGAAATTCCACCTCTCATGTTAGTTCTTTTGTTGCTGAAACATTTGCAGTCCTGTTCTTCAATGGAGCAGAAGGAACTCCTGGAGGAGATGGCCACATCTGTGGGCGCAGCGAAGGTATGATCAGCGCGATCGATCTGTCTGCAGTCCTCCTTCCACCTGAGTACCAGACCATCAGATAGAAATCATCCAATGGACATTGTGTTGAAACGGGTGGTGATCAATGGACAAATGTACATGAAGAAATCCGAAGATACATATACATATGCTTCCGTTGCTCATGAGCATGACTAATGTCAGAAAACACACTGATGCATTTTCAGTTCCTCTTACAGTTACAAATTTTGAGTAGTTGGATATATGCAATGTGTACATCTCAACAGTTGCATAGCTACAATATGCATTATGCACAATTCAACCTGTTAATAGATGGGAATGAATTATGGTGATTTGTCAATGTGTTCAATTGAAATGAATGTGTTAAATGATGGGTAGCATTGTCTTGCTTGTGCTATGAGATTGCTTGCTGGCGCCCTCTAAAACCAAGTCCTACAAACTTCACTGTGGAACCTGATGGACATGACTTGTGCTGAATTCTCAATGTGTTCAATTGAAATGAATGTGTGAAATGAAAAGTAACATGCAGTTCATTGTTTAATTGTCCCAGTTTGAGTACTATAGCAAAAACACCTCCATTACTGATGCGGTAATAGGCAGCGAACATTGGCATCCAGCATCACAAGAACCTTGAGCACAACACAAAATAATCAGAGAAGCATCATTAAATGAAACTCCAACATCATTCTCAAAGATGCCAACCATTTAGGTGCCCATTTTTTTTTTTAGATCAAAGGCTTTCGCCCAGCTTTACTAACAAAGCATAAAGGTTGTTCGATACAGGCAGAAAACAAAAACAGCAGGAAGAAATAAAACGATGTTGGGGTTTCCAACTTAACCAGAAGTACAAAAATCTGATCACAAGCTAACAGAGACACCTAACCATTTAGGTGCCCAAATTTGATCATAATCTCGTAAGCATCAACATCTCAAAAAGAAGGTGAACTCTATGACAGTAAAGATGGCTCGGAACAAAAAAACTGGAGAAATTTCCTGACAACTGTTCTGCTGGTATTAGTTTGGTGATGGAAGGAGCTTCCTCAGTGTAATTGAAGTTCTTATCTGCTGCTCAAGCTCCCTGCCACCCCATTGCTGAGCACCTGGCTTGCGGTTTATCTCATGTTTCCATAAGTATCTCGCGTCGCCTGACATGAGAACAAGGGACCCTGGGTTCAGGTAGACAGGGATCTTTGTAGGTTCAGCATGCACACTCTCCAGTGTCTCACAGATAGGAACTTCTTGTTCTGCCCGACTGAAGTGCATCACGCATGGTGACTCAAGGGAGACTATCGCGATTCCATCATCAAAGCGCATCAGATCAACATGAGCACAGATGCCCTAGATTGCAAGACGAATTATCACGTTAATGGAGGAATGAAAAAGAAGGCATCTGTTTATTTAGTTCATATTGGTTTGTGATACGAGTTACTATGTTGTTTTTAGCAGGTTTAGTGGCTAAACTAGTCAGTATGAGAAAGCTACAATCTTTTGTCATATGCTTGAAGCTGAACATGATACTCCATATTATTCAGAACATAAATAGTCCCGCACCTCACCTGGCTCGTATCTGTTTGCGATCATTTGGTCAAAAAGCGGTTTCCTCCACAGCAAATCTGATGGTAAAGGACATGCATCTTCGTCCTCATTTTTCAACTCCAAACCACAACCAACACGGACATCACCAAAACAAATAGCCTCATGGATAAGCGCAGAAAGCTCAACAGCCCATGAAGGAAGATCACCAAATCTCATTGCCTGAGAGAAAAAAAAGGATGAACAAAATTTCATGTTTCTCAAAGGATAACTAGAATTCCAACAGTATAAACAAGTGATGTGCGTTTCTTCACGTCTGCAGATAATAACAGTGTTATAGTCTGAACTAGTTTATCTAGCAAACATATCTTCTGGACTGTGCAAACACATTAGGCAGATGTTCGAACAATTAGAAGAACAAAAACTTACTTGGTTGCGTGCATCGCTGAACCATCCTTCTGAAAAACACAAATAGGCACCACAGTTAATTTGACTCATCAACAAACAATAAGTTAATCTGCTGAGAAGTAACAAGCTAGAGCTAATTCTTCCCCCCCTGCAACATTGCATTCAATTGGTGAATGCACAATAGAACATCAAGAAATAAAGCTCACACCTATGAGTCTATGACCTCAAACCACACATATAGCTAAGAAAATTGATCAAAGTACATCATCAGAACAGTCCACTTAGGTGTAGTTCAGATGGTTAACAAAACTCAGAATTTGCAATGTCATTCATATGAAGAACGAATCACTCTAAGCTGTAGCTAATAAGGTAGTAGAATAACTTACAATTTTGCATTGACTTTTGTTGGATAATGGAAGGTGAGACTAAACTGAAACCCATTACATAGCTGCAAGAAACCCAATCTTTCTTTACCCAAAAGGAAGAACACAGGAGATCTATCTCAATCAACCCACGTGGCCTCACCTCGCCGGATCGCCGTGAGTAGGCGCGACTGCTCGTCGGCGGAGAGGAAGGCGGCGCAGAGCCATAGCCCCCTCACCCCCTCCACCGCCTCCCACCTCCACTGCTCCCGGCCCGCCCCGCCAACGGGAAGGTCGTCGGCCTCGCTGTCCGATGAGTCGCCGAATACCTCCCGGAGCGCCGCCGCCCGCCGGCGAAGCTCGTCGTCGTCAGCGGCGGCCGCCATGGTGGCTTCGCTTCTTTGGCCAGCAGTTGCGCATCCATTTATAATACGTCTCCTACTGGAGGTTACGTAAACTCAGAATTCCGCCTCTTCCGCCGTACGGCCAACGGGCCAAGCAAAGAGTCCAATGGGCCGAGAAGAAAATGATCCAGCAATCCGGGCACAAATGAGGCCCAAACTACGGAGCTGGGCCGTGCAGGTCTTAAATGGGCTGTGATTTCTCACAGAAATTGTGAAAGCCCATGAGAGACGCTGGATGGCAAATTCGTAAATATATCTCGTAAACTAAAACCCTACACCACCACCAACCCCTCGCTCTCCCACTCATCTCGTCGGCGGCGGCGGCGGAGCGGAGGAGCACGGCGAGCTAGCTGCTCTACCTTGGAATGGCGGTAATACCCTCTAATCTCTCCCTCTCTCGCTCTCGATATTTCGTCGCGTGATTTGGTGTCGGCTGTTCCGGTAGTTTCTGGTTCGCGTGGTAGATCGCTGTAGGCTGAAATGTAATAAGGGGCATAATAATTCAGCTCAATATTGTGATAAATAGTTGAAGAAATCGACAAACTCGCCGCTTTACATCAGGATTGGCTGAGCTTTGACTAGAATTGGAGCTTGAGAAATTAGCTAATATATAGGGCTTTTTTTTTTTTTTGCGGGGAGCTAATATATAGGGCTTTAACATAGTCAAACAAAGTCAGCAGTGTGTTTTTATACTGCATGGTATACTTAATCCGGAAGAAATTTGGCTTGATACGGACATTGCATACTGTGCTTGATTATTTAGTCCTTTTTTTTTCCTTCTGATTTTCTTGATGGTGAATTGGTGATTATTCAATTGTATTCAGTTCCAAGTGGTGCCTCCGCGTATTTAGTATCTTTACGCCATGTTGTTGATGTCTTGTTTAATTGAGCCCAATGTTGTTGATAGCTTGATATTGTGCCATCCAATGAAATAATGAAAATAGGAATATTGTGCTGTGCATGCTATTCCTGTGTTCCATGCTGGCAAACTGCCATGCGCATACAATGTACACATTGAATTTGCTTGTAACAGATGGAATTTCGTTCTTTTTATACATCTTTCCTGTTCTGCTCTTAATGGATGGATTGTTTCTTAATGCAGACTGTTCCAGTTAACCCAAAACCTTTCTTGAACAACCTGACAGGGAAGCCTGTCATTGTCAAACTTAAGTGGGGTATGGAATACAAAGGTAATCTATACTTTTACCTTTCACTTCTTCTTCACTTATTACATGCTTAAGCCAGTGCTTGAAAATTTCAGAATGAAATCTCTGAGATTTCAGGAAATCCATATTTGCCCATTTTGTGCATGAAATTTCTTCTTGCCATAGATAATTAACTTCATGGCACGTATCAATACCATCCACTTTCACTGGTTTTACAATGGAATTGCAATGGAAATCATGTATTAAAATGGGTCCTCTTGTTGTAATTTAGTTTTCAGATTTTGCCTCACCATTGATTATGCTGATGGTAATTTTTTACTCTTTAAGGATACCTTGTTTCTGTGGACTCTTATATGAATCTGCAGGTATTGTTTTGTGCTTTATTTCAGTTAAATTCGTTCACCATCTACCCTTTAATATGAATCAACATGCCATATTCATTTGCTGTAATTTACTCGTGTCCCCTACTGCTTTCAGCTGGCTAATACAGAGGAGTATATTGATGGACAATTCTCTGGAAACCTGGGAGAGATACTGATTAGGTAACTCGACCTATGATCCTGGACCTGATTCATGTGTAGTTATCACTGGTACTTTTGTACTTACAGAGTTACAGTGATAACTGATAACCTGTTGCCTGCTTGCACGCTATCACCCTGTTTTCCAATCTGACTGATAATATGAAGAGATAGTATGATAGATTTAAACAAAAACATTTGAGTCCATGACAAGCAGCAGCCTTTACAACTTTGAAGGGGGAAAAATGTGGATTAACTTGTTATTGTTCTTTGCTTTTAAAGAAATCTTTTGCTGATCAAACTGTTGCACATACCATATTCCTTTGTCCAACGTGTACTTATTTGTTTTGTTCGACCTACAGGTGCAACAATGTTCTGTATCTCCGAGGCGTTCCAGAGGATGCCGAGATAGAGGATGCAGAATGAGATAACCTGGACCTATGCGCAGATCGATTTGTGTAATATGCAGCTGACATGAACAATTTAAGTGTCATGTAAAATTGATGCACAGATTCCTTGTTGACCTGGATCTTAACTATGGTCATGATATGGTTATATTAGGCATTGAAACTGATTTCATATTGACTAGTGTCATTGCTCAAATGTGTGAGAGATCATATTTCGTGAGATAATATACCATTTGCCTGTCGAGATGGATGACGAACTGAACATAATAATCGTTAGCCAAATCAGATGAAGTTTATGTAAATTTAGCATCCTGAAAGAATGTTTGCAAATTGACAAGATTTCTTCGTGTATATGAAGATCATAAGTTCATAGAGCCTTCTTGCATCAACTCTTTTACCTGAGGATATTACCATGCTTCTGAGACATTGCACATTTTTCATGTCACTGTGGCATTGTAACTTTGTAGCACAACATAACCAAGAAGTGGATTCTTGTGAATGCAGATCATATGTTCATGGGGAAAATCCAAATAAACCCCTAATCTCCCCCTACAACTTAATTTCATATAAAACACTCTACAAGTCAATTTTCTTTTCAACCTCCTGCCTCTATCTAGGTTTTAGTGATTCTCGTCACACTCCTCAATGATTTCTCAAATCCTATGGACCTTTAACATGGTGAGCGAAGATGCTCCTTATGTTCTCTCTTGTTCGGCATGAGATTTAATACATCCTATCTAATAATATGTGTTTGTCGTCGAGTTTTATCGTTGTACCTTTGGTAAATTAAAGCATGCAAAAGTGAAAACAAAAGAAGCACCTGTGATGGTAAGGGGCAACTTACCTCACCACAATGCACAATGCAGGCCTAAGGTGCATGAGAAATTACCAAAAACTATATATTGGTGGTAAGTCCGAAGAGAATGAACTTGTGGGAAGTGTTTTGTACTAAATTAAGTTGTAAGGGGGAGATTGGAAAGACCAGTGACATGTGGGGAGTTATTTGGATTTTACTTGAGAATATTGCCATGCTTTTGAAAACATTGCACATTTTTCATGTCACTGTGCCACTGTGGCACTGCAGAACAGCATAACCAAGAAGAGGAAAACTGAATACTAGTGTACATCCAAAGCTCAGTTCATCTTTCAATATTCTTTAATTTTTAATTTCAAATTTCAGTTACTTCTAAATTGTATTCCTATATTGACTTTAAACTCTTCTTCCCATGTTTTTCTTAATTTCGAATTTTAGTTATTTGTAAATTGTATTTTTATACGGACTCTAAACTCTACTTTTAATTTTATCACATTTATTCCGAATTTTAGTTAGTTTCAAATTCATGTATGGACTCTATACTCTACTTCTAATATTCCTTATTTTTTAATTCCAAATTTCCTTTTTTTCTTCATTGTATTTCTATATGGACTCTATACTTTACTTCTAATATTCCTTATTTTTTAATTCCGAATTTCAGTTATTTTCTAATTGTATTTCTATATGGACTCTAGTCTTCTCTTTTAATATTCCTTATTTTTTAATTCCGAATTACAGCTATTTCCTAATTGTATTTCTATATGGACTCTAGTATCCTCTTTTAATATTCCTTATTTTTTAATTCCGAATTTCAGCTATTTCCTAATTGTATTTCTATATGAACTCTATACTCTACTTCTAATATTCCTTATTTTTAATTCCGACTTTCAGTTATTTCCTAATTGTATTTCTATATGGACTCTAGTCTCCTCTTCTAATATTTCTTATTTTTTAATTCCGAATTTCAACTATTTCTAAATTGTATTTCTATATGGACTCTAGTCTCCTCTTCTAATGTTCCTTAATTTTTAATTCCAAATTTCAGCTATTTCTAAATGTATTTCTATATGGACTCTGCTTTTTCTTTTTCTCCGATTAACGTGAGAATTTCTAGGCCATGAGAGCGAACGTGGAGGCTCCTTTTTCTATTCCTTTAATAATATAATAGATGATTGTGCAATCGTGGCAGATTAATAGTTCATGATTTTCAGATACCTAAAAGCAAACAGGCATATGGAAGCAGACCACATCAAACAACTTTGTTTCTTCGATCTCATGCAAAGAGACAGAATTACATTTCTTCTGTTGAACAAAAGGGATATATATTTATGGATATTGCTACCACAAGGCATGAATCATGAATATGACCTTGTCGTACAGTTTGCTCATGTGCACATCAGCACATACATATGTAACTATCTAGAAGAACCAAGAAAGTATATATTGGATGCATACAAAAAAAAATTGAAGGGGATTAATCGCAATGCGCATGCACTTTAGCCGCTAGAGAAGTGTTTACATACATGCATGCCAGATTCTTTAGCTTTATGGATCACTTCTCATTGATGACGACGTCGTCGTCGTCGTTAATCTCTCCATGGAGCTTAGTATCCTTGGAACTGAGGTGGTGGAGGTGAGGCGTACTGGTGCGCCATCACCGGCGGTAAGAGTACAGTAGTGTCGAACGCCGGTGGAGCTTCAGCTTCCATTGCTGGTGGAGGTTTAGATTCCTTTGCAGGTGGAGCTTCAGCTTCCTTTGCTGGTGGCGGCAATGACTCCTGTTTCGGTGGGGGGAGGGAGACCTGCGGAACTGGTGGGGGAAGAGGCTTCACCGCTGGTGGTGGTAGGCTGACTGGTGCTGGTGGGGGAAGAGGCTTCACCGCTGGTGGTGGTAGGCTGACTGGTGCTGGTGGGGGAAGTGACTTCACGACGGGTGGTGGTAGGCTGACCGGTGCTGGTGGGGGAAGCGACTTCACCGGTGGTGGTGGTAGGCTGACCGGTGCCGGTGGGGGAAGAGACTTCACCGCTGGTGGTGACAAGATCACAGGTGCTGCTGGTGGTGGTGACTTCTCTGGAGGTGGTGGCGAGATGACCGGTGCAGGTGGAGGTGGAGACTTCACAGGTGGGGGTGGCAAGATGACTGGTGCGGGAGGAGGTGGAGACTTCACAGGTGGGGGTGGCGAGATGACCGGTGCTGGTGGTGGTGGAGACTTCACAGGAGGAGGTGGCAAGATAACTGGTGCTGGTGGTGGTGGGGACTTAACTGGAGGAGGTGGCGAGATGACTGGAGCCGGTGGGGGAGGAGATTTAATTGGAGGAGGCGGCAAGATCACCGGAGCTGGCGGGGGTGGAGACTTCTCCGGAGGTGGCGGTGAGCTCACAGGAACCGGTGGGGGCAAAGGCTTAACTGTTGGAGGCGGCAAGCTCACTGTAGCCGGTGGAGGAAGAGACTTCTCAGTTGGTGGAGATGAAGCCTTGGGGACTGAGGGAGGAGATGATTCCTCAGGAGTTGATGGCGGGTAAGACTTCTCTGGTGTTTCTGGCGGGCTAATTGGTTCATGTGGAGGTGAAGACTTTGCTGGCGGTGGTTCCGAGGTCACTGGCACTTGCGGCGGTGAAGACTTTGTTGGTGGTGGTTCTGAGATAACCGGTGCGTGTGGTGGTGAAGACTTCACTGGTGGAAGTACTGACTCAACTGGAGATGGCGGTGGCTGGGACTTCTCGGCTGGTGGTGGACTTGATTTCACTGGAGATGGAGGCATGTACTCTTCTTCCGATGGTGGAGAACTATTTATTGTTGGTGTGTGTGGTGGTAGTGGCTTTTCTGGAGGTGGAGTTGATTTCGCCGGAGATGGAGGAACGTACTCCTCGTGAGATGGTGGAGAGCTCTTTGGTGTTGGTGACGGTGGTGGTTCTGACTCCTCAGATGGTGGGGATGAGCTCTCCGGAGTATGTGATGGTGGGGACTTCTCTTCTGGAGGTGGAGTTGATTTTGCCGGAGATGGAGGAACGTACTCCTCGTGAGATGGTGGAGAGCTCTTTGGTGTTGGTGTCGGTGGTGGTTCTGACTCCTTAGATGGTGGGGATGAGCTCTCCGGAGTATGTGATGGTGGGGACTTCCCTTCCGGAGGTGGAGAGATCTCCGGTGTTAGCGTTGGTGGAGACTTTGTCTCTGGTGGTGGTGGAGACTTTTCAGGTGGTGGTGGTGAACTAACATGAGCTTCTGGTGGTGGCGAGGAAGATTTTTCTGGTGGTGGTGAGCTAACATGAGCTTCTGGTGGTGGTGAGGAAGATTTCACTGGGGATGGTGGAGTGCCTTCATGACCCGATGGTGGTGATGGAGATTTTTCCGGAGTTGGCGGAGAACTCTCTTCAGCTGGTGTTGGAGGTGACTTCTCCGAGGGAGGTGGAGAAGTTGGGTGAGCCTCTGATGGTGGTGACTTTTCTGGGGAATGTGGTGGAGGAGACTTCTCTTCTGGTGGCGATGACTTTGGTGGGGAAGGTGTGTATTCCTCTGGAGTTGGAGGTGATGTATGCGAGGTCGGCGGTATAGGAGGAGACTTCTCTTCTGGTGGTGATGACTTTGGTGGGGAAGGTGTGTGGCCCTCCGGAGCGGGTGGTGGTGGAGATGAGGCTTCCGACTCAGGCGTGGGAGGAGACTTCTCAACTGGTGGCGTCGACTTTGGCGGGGAAGGCATGTGGCCCTCTGGAGCGGGTGGTGGTGGAGAGGAGGATTCCGACTCAGGTGTAGGAGGAGACTTCTCAGTTGGCGGTGTCGACTTTGGCGGGGAAGGTGTGTGGCCCTCTGGAGTGGGTGGTGGTGGAGATGAGGCTTTCGACTCGGGTGTAGGAGGAGATTTCTCAGATGGTGGTGTCGACTCTGGCGGGGAAGGTGTGTGGCCCTCTGGAGCGGGTGGTGGTGGAGATGAGGCTTTCGACTCAGGTGTAGGAGGAGACTTCTCAGCTGGTGGTGTCGATTTTGGCGGGGAAGGTGTGTATTCTTCTGGAGTCGGTGGAGGCGAGGCTTTTGACTCAGGTGTAGGAGGAGACTCCCCAGCAGGTGGTCCCGACTTTGGTGGGGAAGGTGTGTGGCCCTCTGGTACCGGTGGTGGCGAGTGCGAGGCCGTCGGCGTAGGAGGGGACTTCCCTTCAGGTGGTGGCGAGCTCTCTGGAGTTGCAGGTGGGGAGTACTCAGTAGGAGGCTCCGCTTGTGGCGGAGGTGCCTTCTTGCGCTCGGGACTCTTGGGGAGCCAACCCGAACTTGGTGGCGGTGGAGCACCATACTCTGCCGGCGGCGATGTCACTCCCTTGATGGCGGGTGCCGGAGGCGGCGCCATCTTGGCCGGTGACTCTGGGCTGCTTGGTGTCGGCGACGGTGTTGGTTCCTCGGGTGGTTCCTCAGGTGACTCCTCCTCTGGAGGTGGCGGGCCGTGCGACGTCGGGGTGGAAGGCGCGGCCGGTGGTTCCTCGTAAGCCGGCGATTTCTCCGGCGGCCCCACCGGCACCGGGATGAGCGGCGGCTTCTCCGGCGGCTCCGACGGCTTCCCGGGCGTCGGGTGTCCGGGGCAGACGTGCTTGCTGCAGTCGACGGGGCGGGCGAGCACGGGGGCGCACTGCAGCGTCGTCTTCTGCGCCGGTCGGAGCGCGCCGAGGCAGTTGTCCTTGTCGTCGAGGTTGACCTTGCTGCTCTCCGACGGCATGCACGGCGCCGACTCGGAGTTGAAGAAGTTGTAGGCGAAGCTGAAGTTGACGAGCACGGGGAGCTCGCAGATGGACTCGTGGACGATGCCGGTGAAGACGTTCCTGGACACGTCCAGCTGCTCCAGCTTGCTGCAGTTGGAGAGCGAGGTGGGCAGCGTGCCGACGAGGACGTTGCCGCTGATGTCGATGACGTAGGTGTTCTGCAGGTAGCCCATCTCCATGGGCACGCAGCCGTCGAGCTTGTTGTTCATGAAGCTGATCTCGTCGAGCGTTTTGGCCATGCAGCCGATGCTCTTGGGGATGCAGCCGACGAAGGCGTTGTTGGCGAAGACGATGACGGAGGCGGTGGAGTTGCCGAGGTTGCCCGGGATGTAGCCGACGAATCGGTTGCTGTTGACGAAGATGGCGTCGAGCTCCTTGTCGAACAGCGCCGGCGGCAGCTCGCCCTCGAAGTCGTTGAAGCGGATGTCGAGGTACTTGAGCACGGCCATCTCGAGGCAGACGTGGGGGAAGACGCCGACGAAGCGGTTGTGGCTGACGTCGAACTCGTGCAGCAGCGACAGCCTCGACATGCTCTTGGGGATGATGCCGCAGAAGCGGTTGGTGTTGATGTGGAAGAAGGCGAGGTCGGTGAGGAGGCCGAGCTCCGGCGGGAGGTACCCGGCGATGTCGGCGCCGTTGAGGTCGATGCCGGCGACCACCATGATCTTGGGGTCGTCGATGGCGGCGTAGCAGATGACGCCGTTGTAGGAGCACACGTCGTTGCCCGTCCAGTTGTTGGTGTACCCCTTGGGGTCCGAGTAGAACGCGCGCCGCCACGCCTGGAGCGCGATGTACGCCTTGCGGAGCCGCGGGTTCGGGAAGTCGCCGACGGCGACTCCGACGCGGTCGTCGAAGTCGAAGTCATCGGACGGCAGGTCGCCCTCCTCGCTCACGCCGGCCTCCTTCATCGCCAGCAGCTGCCGGTGCGCGATGTACGACACCTCGGCGCTGGTCACCGCGCCGACGTTGGCGGCGGAGGAGAGGCAGGCGGCGAGGACGGCGAGAATCAGTGCCATGGCGGCGCGGCGCCCGCCGGGGGCGAGGAGGAGCCGGAGGTCCATGGCGAAGGTGGTGGGGTGTGGGTCGATGGAATGGAGAGGCGTGGAGATGGTGGATATATGGGCGAGCCCCCTGCCCCGCCATGGGCGACGATGGGTGGTGGCCGGCGACGCCGCGCGCTGCGGGCGCGGGTGTCGCGTCGCGTCGCGTTGGCTTGGCTTCGGTTGGCTCCGCTGTTTTGGCGCGAGGTAGGAGAAGCTGTCTCTCTGGTTTGTTTGACCATCTCATATTTACTATTTTTACTGCTATGTGTTTTTCTCAATCTCTCTCTCTCTTTTTCTTCTAATTACAAATCGAGCTGATTGATAAATACAGTTCTAACTTCCTACTATTGATACCAAGAAGATTATGTGTGTCTGTTCTACTTACTAGTATACTACTGCTCACCTCTGTTTTTTTTTTAACATTTTCACGGGATAAGTCAACTGTTAATTGGTTGTTTTTAAATAATGGATTATCCGGCCTTTACTGGATGCTAATTGCATGATAATTTGCTTATACTTTAGCCAGGGATGAAAATGGCCACGAAAATGCCAGATCGATCCAACGGGGTTTGAGCATGGCTGTTACCGTTTCCAACTGTTTCCGTTTGTAGACATATATAAATTTTGTTTTTTCTGTAATTTTTTTCAACGTCGAATTAGCGTTGTTACTAAATAATTAAATTGATAAACATGGTTAGCTCTCGTCCCACCATGAATCGTTTTCAAAGAGATGTTACCAACTCCGACCATTTTTTCCCTATTTTTAGCCGCATGGTCGATTACATCAACTCAAATACAATTCTAATAATAACTTCCTACAAATATGTTTTTCTCCAAAGATAGATGTATTTGCAATAAACACAAATCCTATGACTTACTTTATGTAAATTGGAGGATAACCAGAAGTGACATTTGTCTCTCAGGAACCCAGGGCACAACACAAATTAAATTAGGCGATCATTTGGATATAAATTGAATGAGAACAGAGCAGCCAATGGACTACTCATGCTCAAGAAACCAAACAACCAACATAAATACAGAGTCGGACCAGATCTATCATCACATTCTACATTTCTACATGCACATAGTGCTTGCCTAGCTTGCTGGGGCAACTGAAAACTTAGGGAAGATGCATGTTTTGGTGACTCATGTAAGCATCATGTCTTGCAACCATGGGCAAGAGAGGCATCAGGAATGCAGCTTCCCGGGTCATCCTATGCTGTAGTGCTGTCGTTAACGGTAGAGGTTTGGAAAACCGACGATATCTAACGGGATAGCGGTATGAATGTGTTTGATCCACCATCACATCACATGATCATCGGTGAGCATACAGCGATGGCGGAGCTGGACCTTCTTGCACTATTAGTTCCGGAGTCCTACCATGATCACGATCTGTTAGTTTTCTTGACTTGACACTGGATCGAATGCTAGGCTGTTTTGCGGAAGCTAGAGGCAAATCGAGAAAGATTACTGCTGGGGGCCAGATTGGTAAGAAATGGCAAATGATATCTTCAACTCGTAGTTTGGCTGGGGGACGGGAATCAGAAGATTGGGAGACTGAAGATCATACCTGATGCTGGCTGTTTTTGGATAATCTGGGCGCGAGATGAAGACAAATGTCATCCTGGTTAGCTTTTTGGCTGGGTTCAGTGATCAAGACTATAAGAGGGGTGGCCTGCATCAGTAACTGTCTGTGTTCCTATTGTCTGTCCAGACCCTCTATGCCTATCTCTCTCTCTTGCTGTATTTTGTTTTTTTAGTGATCTTTCTCCTTTCATGTAAGAACTCTATGAATCATTTCTGGTAATGGAAACGGGGGCCATGCAGCCCTTGATAAAAAAAAAAGCATATGATCACGATCTGTGTGGTGAAAACTTCTGTTATTGTCGCAAACAAGGGTTTGTGCTTTGTTATCCTAACCACTATAAAATGGAAAGAAATATTTCTTTGGTTACTGCTAACCTATTTGTTATGCGGACGATAGTGATCGATTGGTTATATGTCCAATATTCTCCCAATTCCACATGATGTATATAGCAGGGATTGCAATTTCGGAATGAAAATTTTGCCCCCACCGACAAGCACATATCTTGCTCAAATTTTTCGGACTTTTTTCCATTCCTTTTTGAATTTGGTCAAATTTATTCAAATTCATTTAAAATTTGTCAAATTTTCAAATAATTTCGGGAAAAAAACACCGAAATTATCGAAAGTTCAGTGCCCACTAAAATTCTGAAATTTTGCTGGAAAACTGAAGTGTAAACCCTAGTATATACTATATAGTTAATTAGTAGCCATTCTGATTTGGGAAGGTACTTTAAGCAGTACCGAACAAAGTTTGTCTGAATTGTACATGGTTTTGATGATTTGGGAGGCACAAGTTTATCCACATGATCATATCATCCCAAATACAATTCTAACTTTCTATGATACAAAATAAGATTATGTACACAGATTGATTTACTTACAAAATAAATCCTAAGATTTACTCGATATAAATTGGAGTAATCAAAAGTGACATGTCTGTCATGACCCAGGACAAATTAAATTAGGGATCGATTGGATATAAATAGGAGCAGAAGAGAGCAACCAATGAAGTATTCCACGCTCAAGAAAATAAACAAAGCAACAGCCAAATGTACAGATGAGCAAGATCATCACATTCATGTATAATATAATACACGAACGATGCTTCTTGCCTAACTATATATGCAGACTCATGTAGTGAGCATTCGTTGCACTACCGTTGGCCTTGAGAGGCATCCGGAATACAACCTGCTGGGTCGCCCTATGTTGTAGTGCAGTGAATTTTGGAAAACGCTGATGGAATGAAGTTGAAGGATCTATGGATGAGTGTGTGATCCGTCCTGCGCTGGTCGTTACTTCCAGCAAACATGGTATGATGACAGATCCATCCATGAACTCTTGCCTTCCCTGTTCCAGATATCCTTTGATACCGGCTACCAACAGGCAGGGTTTGTGTTTTGTCCTAAGCACTGGAAAACAGAAACATATGCTTGTACTATCTGTCCAGCTAACCTGTTTGTGCCAACAATTGTGAAAATCTCCTAGCCTTTCCACATGGGAACTGTACATGCTTGTTCATGTTCTGCATGATTTGGGAAGAATATCAAATTCTATTAAATTACACCATGGTTTTCCTTTCTTGATATGTGTGTTGATGTGCCTACTGCCTAGTGCTAATTGATATAGCATGGTATTTTCCATATAAATTCAGATTCAGGCTTTGCACCTTAACACTTTGGCAGTGTAGTTTTGGAGAGAGGACATATAAATCAGATAAATATGTTTCCTGTTATCTTAATGGAAACCTCTCTATGATCCATATATGCTTATCATGCATTCCATCACCTTTTTTTTTCTTTGAGAACTACATGCACATCAACTGAGGGGTGATTGAGAATGTGAGGCATCTGGAATCCAGTTTTGTCATATTTGGTCCTAAGCACTGCTTGCTCGATGTGAGGCTGCATGCATACTGGTATGGTATGTCTATTAGACCACTCTGCTTCGACTCGGCCAGCAGAGGAATGGGGACATCTGAGACAACTAAAAACAGGGAAATATCTTTTGGAATCGTCCAGCGTTTGAGCTAGTGTAAGGTCGAGGAGTTTAGCTTACTTTTCTTTTTAGCCATTTGAAAGAACTAGGCGTTTGCATGACGGATATTTGTTAAGCAGAAAACTTCCGACCTTCCGATCTTTTTTTTAAGATAATGGATAAAATCGATCCGGTCTTTACTTTAGCAAAAGTTATAATTACATACCCTCTCTGTCCAAAAAAAAATCAACTTATATGAATATAGGTCACATCTCCTTCTATGTTGATTTTTTTTTGATAGAGAGCGTACTACATAATTCTTGGCTAAAAACCAAGTATAACAATTTCTAACAATGGATAAAGAGACGACACGATAATAAACCATATTTTAACATAAAGTGGGGTTTTCACTTTTTCTTTAAGAAAAGGATGGGTTTTCAAAGAATAGCATTATAGACGCAGCATCATCTATCATGGTGGAAATTAATTCTCTCAGTCGCCTCATTAACTATACATTGGGGTTAATCAACTAATCTATACCTAAAAAAATACATAAGGTTTCCGGTATTTTTTTCGTCCGTCACTTTTTTCGCTATTTTTTTCTTCCTTTCGTCCGTCACTTTTTCCGCTGTTTTTTTTCTTTTTTTCGTCGTTTTTTTTTTCTTTTTTTCTTCTGTCTGCCCTTTTCTTTTTTCTTTTTTTTCCCATCCGCCTTTTCTCTTCTGTCTTTTTTTTTCGCCCTTTTTTCGTCTTTTTTTAGTTGCATTTTTTCCCACGCCACGCGTTAGGGATTCGTTTTTTTATGTGGCCGGTTTTCTTAGTCGGGCCGAACTCGCGCTGTAGCTATATACCTCCTTATGCGTGATCAGTTCCAACATTGTCGTGTCTTTCATAGATTGAAGACGGCTGGGCCTACAGTTTCACTTATGAGCTAGGTCAAAGAGAGGCAAGCCAAGTAGACACTTGTGGACTAGCAAACACTTGTGGACTAGGTTAAAGAGAGGCAGGCCAAGCAGATGGATGCAGTGGGCTGGGCTAGGACTGAAAGTATGCGATCCAAAAATTGCTTTTATCTATTGCAACGCACGGACATTTTTTCTAGTCTCGATTGAATTAACGAAGAACAATTTGTAGTATTACGCGTCTTTGTACTGTTTAGGATAGTAGACAATATGCTACAAGTGAAATCAAGAACATATCCGCAGTAGGCCATAAAATTTACTTAATTGGTCTGGTCCTTTACATCAGTATCTAAAAACAACAAAGTGATGCTAGCTACTACACTCTGCACCGTGCCAATTAATTTTGCTCCTGATCGAATAACAATAACTCAATCCATGTGCTCTTCATAATCCATGCATATATATACCGAGAACCATCAGAAGCCATGACACATGATGTAACCATCACACACTGCATATAAGTTGAGGCATTGCAACTTAATTAGCAATTTATTGGCAGTGTAGTTTGGA